GAAACGGCGTGGGTCCGAGTTGGTTGTGGGTCCGAGATGGTCGTGGGTATGAGTTAGTATTGGGTCCGAGTTGGCGTGAGTCCGAGTTGGTCCTGGGTCCGAGTTGGCATGGGTCCGAGTTGGAATTGGTCCGAGATGGTTTGGGTCCGAGTTGACCTGATCCCAACATTTGGCTCACCTGAGATAAAGTGTGCTGAACACGCTCGCGAGAACGGGTGTCGGTCACTTCGCCCCATTTCCACTTCGCCCCTAACCACTTCGCTCCACCGTACGTAATAGAGGCAGCATAGGCCTAGAAACAACCAATAAAAACAACGTTAGAGTACCCAAATAACGCTCAGAGAATCGAACTTGCAAAGGCAAAAACAAAGATTTCAATTTCCCGACCGAAATTTTTTTTCGGCGACACCCTAACATTTTTATTGGCAAGTCAAGAAAAAACAAATTTAATGTAAGAGAGACAAATAAATCCTGTTGCCTTTTCTGTTTTCTCAAATACCTCAGAACGACAATTTTTCTCATTACATGTATAACGCTTGAGAATGTGTTGACAAGTTTTTCCAGTCACATTTGCAACATCTGAAAAGCAACTTCTGCCAATCACGCCTCTTCATGTTTCCCTAGCCCTGTCGTTCTGGTAACTTCACGTGCGCAAAGCACTGGTTCCCGCCGCGCCGCATGCATGCAAGAGAATGCGTGATGGAGTGTGGCAACCAGTCTATTATTCAGACATACACGTCACGGTGACCGCACGCATTGAAAAAAGTCGATGTTGCAAAATTTCTTCAAGTTAATTCAGAGAATTTAGTATCTTTTCTATGTGTGTATTTTCTGTGGTCATGAGTTTAATTTTAGGTTGTTTTGTTCGTATTTGTAGCGAGCATGTTGCCACAAAATTTCCTACCGCGGCGCGCCGAGGTTTATCGGATCGCCGGGGACAGCAGTGTCTGGAACGATGTGTACAGAAATTTGGAATAAACTTGAAGAGGAAGAGAAATAAACCCAATGCTGGTTCAACCATGTGTATTAATTCACCGTGGGTAACGCAGTTGACATTTAATTAAGTGAATGAGTATGAGTTCTCTATATATATGTACGCGAGGTTTGGAACACACTCGAGCACGGGCGGGCAAATGGAAATTGGGGGAATGGGGATGGGGCGAAGTGGTTAGGGGCGGCGTGGAAATGGGGCGAAATGACTGTTCATCAAATTCTCGGGTTTCAGTTGTCAAGCACAACACACGACATGTCTGCCAGAAGCAGAAATCCCCGATTGCCTACAGCAGATGTAAGTTATAGCATGGTTACACTTTACACATGTACAGTATACATAAAAATTCATTCCATAGTAGGCCTATAATTAAGTAATGACGTTTGTCATTTATTAGGACACGGGCCTAGGCTACAGCACAGGGGGTGACACAAAATTCCTTCGGTTGGTGCATAGAGGAAGGACACAGAAGGAGTTGCAACTTAAGCACTTCAAAGTGTTCAATGATGGGGAAAAAATATTGCATCCTGACTCCACATTTCTCTTCATATATCATCTCAATACAAGTCAGTCAGAAATGCTGGAAAGACACGAATTCTGGACTGAGAAACATTTACCAATGTTGTGAAATTTAATAGGCCTAGGGGCCCAGGCTAGGCTACTGTACTTAGAAAGTTCTCTTCACTCCCCATGTTTGTATACAACTGCTGTTCAAAGTGGAGTCAGGATGCAACATTTTTTCAAATGATGGTCACCGGCGAGTCAGACGAATAATAGAAAACATTCCAAAAATGCCTGATTACTGCCTGCATCTTATTCTTAGACGGACATGCACCTAGCCAGTAATCCTACATGTACTTCCTAGCAATAGGCCTACTTGTAAGTTGTAGTCTTTTGCTTATAATTAAATCCAAGTTATCGCCCTGACAAGGAAATAG